TTTCAGTTTAAACCATTACTGCCGCCATCACAGCCAGGTTTACTATTTAAAAATAAATAAATAAAAGAGAGAGCCACCCTGTTACTGCAATACCATTGCCTATAATTCTATGATTTGGAAATATCTGCTGGGGGAGGTTTCTGTTTTTAATCTCGTGAGTTTATAGCATTTAGTGGCATTCAGTTCAGCACCTTGGTTCTTGGGTCCTCCATTATATCCGGCATCAGAAATGAGACAAATATTCAGTATTGCGTAGCTCTTATCTATCGACCGTATGGCAAGTGTTTGAGCTGTTTATTACCTCTATTTTTATTCTTGTTTTGTGGAATTAAAAAACAAAAACTAAAAAACACCGTATGGTGTTTGAGAGATGAGCTGGTTGTTAGATTAATGGTGAATAGCTGGAGATGGGGTGGGGGAGCAGAATTGGGTGCTAGTGGAATCAAGGAGTCTGACTGGATTGGGTCATAGGCTAAAAGGCCATGAGAGGCTGACCTTATCAGCTTGCCCATTACTGTATACTCAGAGCCCACCTTGTGGCCTGGCACATAGTAGCTTAGTAAATATTCAAGGAATTAACTAGTGAACCAGTGTTTCCGTGTTGATTTTATTCCCCCATCTTCATATCTTTGTTGTAGGTATTACAAATTTGTATACAGTAGACCACTTTTTCGTTGTTGTTGTTCAAGCAAAACCCTGTAGAATAGGTAACAGATCAAAGAACTTTGGTTTGTCCTGAGTTCCTGGGAAGGATTTAGGTTTACTGGGATTTTGTTCTTGGACAGCAGGAGAATATCTTTAAAATTTAAAATTCTCATAATCATTCTTTGACTCACTGTTGTTGAGCCAATTTTCTTCTCTGATGAAGAGGTTTTTGTAATATTGAAATTAAGATACATGTCCCCTCCTTCTGTATGTGATAGGCAGGGACTCAGTTCCTTACCAAATTGACATGGTTGCCCGATACTCATTTAAATGGGTTATGCTTCCATCACCTCCTGAAAAATGAATTGTATTTCCAAATTTACAAATTTTTACTTATTACCACAGAGTGAAAAAAGTTTAAACGCATAGACCTGGCTGCTGATGAAATTCATATTTCATGCTACTTTTCTGGAACCTAAGGACCTATAGTGTATGAAAAGCCAAAAGAAGTATTATATCTATAAAGGGAGTATTTTGTACCTTGAAATGTGATTTTCTCTTTTCCTGTCCCTTGCGAATTTGATTTTCATTATTGAATTTCATGCTCTCCTTATATTTAATCATTTGTAGCATGGCAGAACTAAAGACAAAATTTTGTCTTTTTTTTGGTGACATAAAATAGCTTTTGGTACCAAGATGCCCTCAAAATTGAAATAGAAAAATAAAGGATTTAAAGCATTTGAACCACATATAATTGGGGGAGAGGGACAGTTACTGAATCTAATAAAATTAAATTATACTCTTTCCCTCAAGTCATTATACTCCAGCCTTTTATCTTTATGTCTTGTCATAAACCTTCTTTTAAAAAAGTGAATTCTTTTATCCGTACCTCAGCAAAGAAAGATTGTACTCCCTTCACTGTATCTGTTTCCCAAATTTTAGATTACTATAATTCTGCTTCCTTTTCTTCTGCTCCTCTGTTTAAAGGCAGTTGTTTACTCTTGGCTCTTTTCAAAGTACTAACAGAGCTTTTTCAGATAAGAAAGAAAAGTTTTCTAGTGATTTACTTCTAATTATTTTCCTTTTATTTCACCCAATGTTGCAAGTTTTTTGTCTTTAATGGACTTCTGTTTCGTGTCTTGATCATGTTTGCTTTAATGTTGTGAAAGTCTTTTGATGTCCCTCATTCATTCAAGACTTGTGGCAGAAAACTTGAAAGGGAAAATGATCCCATTGGCATGCACATGTGAATTCTGATATCCAATTTAAATCTGAAATTAAAAATGTTCTTTAGTGACTATAATGAATTAATACTGGATTTCAGTAGAATAGAAAATCTTAATGTTTTTTTCTGCCATAATTGAAATGGCTAGATGAAAAGCCCCAGTGCAGAGACTGTTTACTTGTGTAGAAAGGGTTTTTCTGATAGCATATTGAGGTTATTATCTGCATCTTTGACATGCCATTTTCAGACACTCTAATATGTGGGGAGAAGGCCCGTTATTGAACAATTACAACAAAAATTTGTGTGACTGTTAAATGTGGTCAATTATCTGTTTCTTCTGCACAGGAGATGGGCAAAAATTAATTAAGTACTGTCCATAAAATGCTGTTAGAAAAATAATGCTATCAGGATGAAAAGACCAGTATGGTAGCAGACTAAATTATTAATGATGAAAGAAATGGCATGTTGATAAGATAGAAACACTATATGTGAATCTACAAAGCTAAATGAACATTCTAATGGAGGAGTGTGGAGTGGAGTGGAGTGTACTGGAGTCAGGGAGCGAGGTCGTTGGCTGCACAGACCCAGTTTGGTCCGAAGTCCGTCACTCACTATCTGTGTGATATCAGGCAAGTTACTTAATTACTTTGATCTTCCATTTTTCATCTTTATAATGGAAATAATAATATCTCGCAAATTCTGTTACATAAATTTTAAAAGGTTAAAAAAAACCAAATTGATGTGTGAAATGCCTAGCACATTGTTGATAGTTAAGAATTCTGAGCTATTATTGTTGGTAAGAAAAATAACAGTAATTACTATGTAATTATGTGCTAATGGACAAATACATTTTTATGAAAGGATAATTTCATTGCTCTGTGTAGTTATTTGATGTTTCATATAGCTGTAGTTTTAAAGGTAGTTTAAGCAGCAGAACAGTTGAAGGTCATTGTGATCTTTGTAGAATAGCATAAATACTGTTATGTTTAATTTTAGTATCTAAAATAGGAAAACTCTTTTTTTGTAGATAGTAGGATTAAATAGTGGGGGTGGGGGAAAGAGAGAAAATTACAAATACAAACATCCACAAGCTAAAGCCAGCTCTCAAACTAAGCATAATCATGCTCAGTTATTTCAAATTCTTTCTTTAATATTCTTTTGCTCCTTTTATATGTTTTGTAGTCTGCTATTACTCAAAGAAAATCAGTAATGGGTGTCAACTTTTATGAAAAATTTGGGTGCAAATTGTTTAGAAACTGCCATCTACTAACTTATTTTTTTCCACAGCTTGAAGAAACATCAAGATTATTTCATTTTAATGGCAGAACATCTCTCATAATCTCCTTAGAGAACCAATTCAGGGATAGAGTTTGATACTATTGCGTTAATTGGCTGCTTGCTAAAATAATACTAGGTATTTTCTTCTGTTATTAAAGTCACACCTACTGATGTTTAAACCCCAAACCTTAATTTACCATTTTTATTTGCATAAGAATGTATTGGAAAAAGCACTAGACTTGGCACATGAAGGCCCAGGTTTGAGATCAGTCTCTTTCTAACTAAGCTTTTTGATAATAAACTTCCAAGGAATCTTTAGAATGTTCCTCTTGTATAATTGAACATTAAGTTTTACCTGCCCTCTCAGTTGTATGTTTTATTTGGAAGTCAGAGTAATACCAATTTTCTCTAAAGCTGGGGAAGAAAAAGAATAATCACAAAAACAGAATAATTTAACATCATGTATTACCTAGGGGCGTGACACATACACAGCTGTGTGAATGTGGATTTTTGTTTCATTTAGAATTTAGCTTTCCTACTGTGCAATCTGAAGCTATAGACACGGAAGCTATAAGCTCTGTGGACTCCCATCCTCTTTGCATTAATTGGTGTTTAACCTCCTTTGCGACTTTTAACATTTAGAGGGGTACTTCACAAAGATCATGGAAAAATGGAATTGAAGAATAATATGAATCTTTCCATGAACTTTTTGAAGTACCTCATATGTTCTCACTCTACCATAAAGGAGTTTATAAATATTAGACAAGATGTGTAGTAGCAATTCCTGTCCTTCTCGATGTTGTGAGCAGCAGTGAGTATGGACTAGAAATGATTTTCAAATCTGTAGAAAGTCATGTATACATACAGCATAATGATAATGAAAACGTGCCCAGACTTAGAAAACTTGTTCATTCTCATGTTAATATGTGTTTAATGTAATAGTGAATCATGATTGTACTTTCATATTACTTAATGAAAATGAATTATTTGCTATCTATTCACTTTTTACATTGACCTAGTAGTTCATCAAAATTTAAAAAAAGAAGTTATACATATACTTAGGATTGAGAATAGCCTTTTTATTATTAACTCTTTATGTTTGGAGGTGAAGATAGTTTATAATTTTTGTGGTTTTTAAAAAATTTAAAACAGCATTCTTTTCAACTTAAGCTCGGTCATTTTGTTTTGCATTTTAAAATTGTGCTTATTTCTTTTTCTTATTTGGAAATGTTGGTGTGGCATTTTCTACCTATTTTGTGATCAATGGAAAACTAATGGGGAAAGTATAAAGCAATTTAATAAAATAACGTACTTTATAAGAATGACCTTTCATTGTTTTTTACTTAAGAAAAGATTGCCACTTTCCTAAGAATCCCCAGGATGAGGATTTCATATCCTCTGTAAATTCTGTTTTCAGATCACGGGCAAGGGAAATAGTCTTTATTGTATTTTTTCCTTCCTTTTATTCTAATAGCCCACAAGTAAATATCAGGTGTTGTACTAACCTCTTATGTATATTATTTTATGTAATTCTTGTATCAGCTTTGTGATGGGTGATCTCTTATTGTTTCTACTTTTAGATGAGAAAAATAAGAATTAGAAAGTGTAAGTAGCTCAAAATTGCATAGCCAGTAAGTTGATAGAACTAAGATTTGATTCCAGATCTGTCTGACATATACTTCATGATGACAGATACTAATGCCCATCTTATCATGGGTACTCAGTAAATATTTATTGAAAAATTAATGTCACATATCAGTTAGCTTTAAGAAATAAAACAGTAATGGATGTGTAGTCTATTTTACACATAGTAGATGTTTATATGTTGGTAATTTCCTTTCTCTACTTGTAGGAGAAAAGACTGAAAGAAAGGGAGGCCAGAAGAGAAGCCAACAAGAGACAAACAAAGGTAAGGGTGTGTGTGTGTGTAATTTTTTTTCTTTCTTCCCAGCTCTATTAAGGTATATTTGACAAAACGACTTTATTTTTTAACTAGAATAATGTTTGTGATGTTGAAGTGGAATTTTAAATCCTCTTTTCAATATGTGTTTTATGCTTATATATAATGACATTCTACTTGAACTTAAGGCCATGTGGCCTGTTATTTACTTTCTCATATTAATTTCTTCCCTCTTTGATTCAGTATGAAAAATGCCTAAGATAATTTATTCTCCGGGCTTTGCCCCACTATCCACTATCAGCTTTTTCTGTTATATTTTGTGCCTTTTAAAGGCAAAAGACAGTAGACACTGTGGGCCAAACCTGATATGGGTGTCAACTGTGATGTTGAAGTGGAATTTTAAATCCTCTTTTCAATATGTGTTTTATGCTTATATATAATGACATTCTACTTGAACTTAAGGCCATGTGGCCTGTTATTTACTTTCTCATATTAATTTCTTCCCTCTTTGATTCAGTATGAAAAATGCCTAAGATAATTTATTCTCCGGGCTTTGCCCCACTATCCACTATCAGCTTTTTCTGTTATATTTTGTGCCTTTTAAAGGCAAAAGACAGTAGACACTGTGGGCCAAACCTGATAGGATTTTCTTCTGTATCATCTTTAGGTAGACAGCTTATGTGAAGCCAATTTGATAATAGGTAACTCTGAAAGCATCCTTATCCTAGAGTCTAGGAGAAAGCACTCTTTACCTCCCACCTTCACTGTGTTCTGTAAACAGTAACTTTCAGCAAATTATATACATACATATATATTTTTCAGCAAGTATGTAAATATATAGTTTCCCTCAAGTATATATGTACAATTATAAACACCATCCATATGCAGCTATGATTTCTATGTGGTGTGTTTGATGCTGAGAAAGGTTCAGAGGATGTTTTGTAGGGATGATTTCCTAGAATTAGGGCCCAGTAACGTATGTCATTTCTCATGCTGTATGTCATTGTGCTATGTCTGACTAGCCACGATTTCTCCTTGGCAGTTAGTAAAGATCCAATTCCCTTGAGTAAGCCCATAATGTTCTTTGTCATTTTTTTTCATGCTGGCCATAGCACTTAGAGAGCAAGTCAGAGATGATAACTCATGCTATAGTTCTGAAGTGGGAAGCAATTACTCAACAGTGGGAGATGAAAAGACTGCTTATATTCAGTATTAAATATCACTCTGTCTTCAAAGGTGCCTGCAAATGAAAGCTCCAGTAGTATGCAGCCAGATTGCTAAATCAGGTGGTGGCTTCTGCATATGCTTTTAAAATGCAGACACAAACTGCTATGGCAGGGAAATTAGATCTTAGGGGCTATAGTGGGAAACATTTAAATTTAAGAAGAAAACCTTAAGTCTAGTGAAAGCATTTGATATTTATGATAAATATTGCATATTTAGCATAAAAATGAACCTATTTTATTTTTCTAAGAAGTTCTCATTTCTGCATATAAAAATGTAAAATGAAAGATATGATTTAGAGCCAAAGAAAGCCCTATTATTGTATTTCCTTTGTGTGTGTTCGTGCATATTTGTATATATTAATAAATATGGTTTATTTTTTATACTTGATGTTGTATGCTTGATTTTTCATATTGGTTTAAGCTGTAAGAAATTGCTTTCGCCCTTGAGCCTGTCTCCTGGATCCTCCTCATTTTATTCCTCTATAAATTGGTGTGTGTATTTGGTTTTAATACTGGGTCAGCTGGAGAAATAAACCAAAAAACTGTAAAGGCTTTTCCACTGGGGTCTGTATCTAAAGTGAACTCTTCAAATCAAATACCTCTCCATTCCCTACTCCCCTTTCCATGTTTGTCCTGTGTGTGTGTTTCCTGACATTTAAGAAAGGAGGGGCTCTTTCTAGTCAAGAGAAGGTCTCATTTTGGTATGAACGTAACCACTAAGGATTGCATTAGGAACAAAGAAGATGCCGTGCAGCTGACATGGCTTTGCTGCTCAGCCGGGACCTTTAACTAGGCTGAGGTTGTTTAATTATTGCTCCAAAGAGTTCAGCTACCTCCGTTTCATATCTCTTAGTCTGAGTGCTCGGAGAAGGCAGCCCTCTTGTGAGAGTGATATTACCAGAGGGAGGAGTGGCTGGTTTGTAGCCAGGACTCAAACATTCCTCAGGACACTGAGGACTGACAGCAGTGACAGATTCAGGCTGACTGACAGAGCCTAAGGAATTGGCTTGAACCAACCTTTTTGCATCCAGTTTCTTTTCAAATGAAAGTGACAGGGGATGAAGGCTCTCATGGCTTTTCAGGTGCCCCTTAGAAACAGAACCAGAAGATATTATTTGGAGAGGCT